TGAGACAGGGTCTCACGAAATCTCTACATTGCTCAGGCTGGGCTTCAACTTTGGATCCTCCCGTTCCACGCTCCCAGGGTGCTGTGATGACTGGGTGGGTCTTCTTTCTTTCTTTCTTTTTGTGTACCAGGGATCAAACTTGGGACCTTGAGCTCTCAAGGCAGGCAGTAGAACGGAAGAGCTATATCCTGGCCCTGGGTCTTCTTTCTCACTGTGATGTGACCGCACACAAAGAATCATCACTTACCTTGATTACTTTTGTGTTTCCAACCCCAACCAAGCAAGAGTGGAGTAAAGTAGGGCCTGTCTGTGAACCTCACCTATCTCCTGTCTATTTCCTGTCCAGGCCAGGGGGCTGGCTTTTAACTGCTAGGGGGTATGAAGACTGCTTACGGCTAGTGGCCCTCCAGCCCTCTCACCCAGCAGCCTCAAGGGTGTGATGGGGGAGGACACTGCCTTACTTCCTTACTTCCAGGGTGTCCTGTGTCCCAGTGGTAGTTGTTGGGTGTGACATCTAGGCCTGGAATTTGGTTAAGGGAGGTCTTGGCCCAGAGTCACGCTTAGGATGACTTTTCTTTGTGTGTTTTTGAGATTTGGTCTTGCTATGTAGTCCAGGCTGCCCTTGAATTTACAGAGACCCTCCTGCCTCAGCCTCCCAAGTGCTAGAGCACAGGTATGGTCCGCTATACCTGGCTCACTGACTTTCCTTTTGAGGCTCATACCTTTGATTAGGATTTGGGGAGTGAGTATACAGCTGGAAAAAAAAGCATGTAGCTGGAACCAGGTGTGGGGGCAAATGCTCATAATCCCAGCACCTTGGGAGGCTGAGGCAGGAGGATCTCAAATCTGTACTTAGTCTGAGACAGTTATCAATTTAGAGACCCTGTTTCAAAATAAATAAGACTGGGGAGTTAGTTCAGTGGTGATGCTGCCTGTTTCTTGCAAGAACAGTGTCCCAAGTTTGATCCCTGGTGCCAGAATACAAACAAACCCCCCAAAACAAAATAAATATAAGCCTGGATATGCTACAGCCCCAGGACCACAAAACAAAACCCACCAAAAATGTAGGCTTCGGGGCAGTTTTTTGGGGTGTGCATCGGGTGTTGTGTATCTGGCAGCCTGGCACTCATAGTAAATATGGACTGTTGAGGGGTGTCTCTGGCTCCCAGGTCCGTGTGGAACTGTTTCTGGGGTTTTGCTGCTTCTCCTAGAGGGTGGAGTGTGGGCAGCGTCCTGGGCGTGCAACGAAGTTCAGGCAGCTGTCTCTGGCTGCTTGTAGGGTGGCCGCCTTCCTGGTGGCGGCCAGCCCTGCCCACATTCCAGAGGGATTGGTCCGGGTGCCCTCTCGGTCCCCGCCTGCTCCAGCTCCTGGACCTCCGACCCGGGCCAGAGCCCACTTCCTTGGTCTTGGGCACCAGGAAGCAGCTGGCTCGGGGGAGGGCGAGGCGGGGGAGGCGCTGGAATGTGTGCAGGGGTGAGGAGGGAGGAGACCTAGAGAGGGGGCGGAAGTGGGGGAGGGACGCCGGCCGGAGAAGGGACGAAAATAGAGGGGGTTGGAGACGGAGACAGAAATAGAGGAGGCCTGAGAGTCTGGGGAAGACAAAAAGAAAGACTCGGGAGGCGGAGAGACAACCAGATCGGGGAGGGAGCCAGAGGCAGCGGGCCAGGCTCCGGGGGCCCCAGGTGACAGGCTCCTTCCCTCACCTGCTGCTCACCTGTGCCCGGTGACATCAGAGACGGCCAGCTCTCTGCCCTCTAAGGGGCTGGGCCGCCACGGGTGGAGTCGGACTGCTGGATAGGGCCCCAACGCCCTCGGCCCGGAGAGGGGGCCTCCCCAGCCTGGGTTCAGTGAACTCCCGTTCCCAGGGCCCCGTGGGGGCGGCTCTGCCCTGGGGCACCTTCAGTCCTGGCTCCCCTTGGTTTCTGGCCAGCCGCCTGCCTCCCCCTGGCTGCCCACACAGATCACCTCCTGGTCAGCTCTGCATCTCCAAACATTCCAGCCAGCTCCAGGTGCCCTCCTGTCCACCCCCCAGGAGACTTCAGCCTCTGGCAAAATGCCCAGACCCCAGTGACCTGCCCTCCTGTGGTCACCCCGAAGCACCGCCCACCTTCGAGGTCATTTCCTTGGCTGAAGTTGCCTGTCCTTCATGCTTTGGCAGGCACAGGTCTGCTTGGCCAGCTCAGCCCCTCCTCCCTTATTTTTTTGTTTTATTTTGCAATACTAGGTATTGAACCCAGTGCCTTTGCACCGAGCTAAATCCCCCAGACCTTTATTTCAAGGCAGGGCCTCACGAAGTTGCTAAATTGCCTAGACTTGGCTCTAACTTGGGATCCTCCTGTCTCAGCCCCTCCAGAGTGCTGGGATGACAGGCCTGCACCACCACGCACGGCTGCAATCAACCTTCCTCCCTTTTCCCAGCCTCCAACCCTGCCACAGCCTTTGCCAACAGCCTCCCTGTGAGCTGTAACTTCAGCCATGAAAACCACAGCCCTACCTTCCCCGCCTCCCCCTCTCACCAAGCTCCTACTCTTGCCAAGAGTCCAGTGGCCTCTGATATTCTGATTTCTGCGACCTCCCACCGCGCCACCATCCCTCCGCGGTCTTTTCATCCTGTCATTTTCCCCACTAACTTGATTTCTGCTGCTCCCCAAATGCACCTTTCATTTTTTCAGGCCGTGCTCCCTACTTGCAGAACCCTGTCTTCCTAGAACACCTGACAAACTCCTATTTCTCTGGCAAAACCTCAGCCCCAAAGTCCCCTCCTCCAGGAGTTCTCCCCTCCTTGATTCTGGGAGCTGCAGCAGGGGTGGGCAGGGGTCGGGCACAAGCGAAGGAGCACGGCAGGAAATGCCTGGGCGTGAACAGAGGAGTGCACGTGAGCGCGCCCGTGCCGGGGGTCCACGTGCGGCGCCCCCAGGTACGCCCCCTCTTCCGTCCAGGCCCCGCCGCTTCCGTCAGGCCTCGGCTGCGTCTCCCGCCCCCAAGTTTGCAGACGCGCGAGGAGACTGGAGAGGGCCCTGCGCCTCCACACTTGCGCTTGCGCACTCGCCCCAGCCAGGCTAAAGTCCCGCCTGTAGTTGACATCCCCACGTTGCTATTGGTGCTTATAGGTAAGCCAATGACGGATCCACCAATGAGACTTGCCCTGGGATGGGCGTGGTCTGAGCTCCCGACGCGCAGACGGGGGCGAAGGGACGCCCTCTCTGCGCTGACGTCAGGCTCCTTTCGCGGCGCGTTTCCCTGGAAACCGCGTTTCGATCTCCGGGGGTTTCCGGGGGCCGCCCCCTCCCATTCAGCTTTTTCCTCAATGAGGGGGGTAATGAAATGGTGCAAGGCCACTCCCATCCTCTGCGATCCCTGTAGTCTCTTCCCTAGTCTGTGCCTCAGTGTACCTTTCCTTGCCTCCGACTCAACACGTGGCCTCCACCTACTTGCCCTGTGTGCCTACCGGGACAGGTGTAAGCAGGTGGTATGGATGCGCAGGCTGCAGAGAGAAGACTGGGAATGGGGCTTGCGGTGTCCTAGCTCCCCCCCCCGCCCCCCGGCCAGGCCGTTACTGACCCGACGCCCAGTCTTTGTATTCCTCAGCCCCCCAGAACATAGTCGTATCTTGATCTCCCACCCCATCCCACGCGCTCCCCATGTCCCGAGCCGAGCCTTTAACCCCGGGGGCTCCCAGGCTTGAGTGGGGGTTGTGGACAGCAAGGTATCTGTTTCGGTCCTCTGTGATTCAGCAGGCGCTTCTATCACGTCCTCCTTCCTCCTGCCTACCCCGCCCTGGGCTCAAGGAGGTGGTGACTGAGGTCAGGACTAGCTCAGCCTTGACCCGGGGGCGGGGACTGCGGGTTTCACCTGAACCTTTCTCCCCACAACCAGTAGTCTCCAACCAGAGGGGCCATTTGCTCCCACGAATTTGAGGCTTGAGCAGGCAACCACCCGCCTTCCTCCCGTGATCGTGGGATGATATGAGGGTGACTGGGCTGTGGGAGGGGCCGAAGGCCCTCAGGAAGATGTCCCAGACTGTCCCTGGGAAGGGAACTACCCTCCCCTCTGATGACCTTTGGGGTCTGCTAAGGGAGGCAGAGGCTTGGACCGTCTGGAATCAGATGAGGGTATCTATGGGGGTCACACAGACACCCTAATCCTCCAGGCAAATGCTGTTTGAGACTTGGTTTTCCTGTCTATAAAGTGGGAGTATAATTACTTCTCTTAAGTTGCCTTGCTGTTAAATGAGGAAATACACTTAAGAGGAGATGAAGTAGTGGTATGATTGTTCTGTGCACTGCGTGCTCAACCCCAAAACGTATGAAGGTGGGGTCCCCAGCTGAGCCTTTAGGGAGCCCCAGGCTGTCAGGGCATGTGGGGGGGGGTCCCCAGCCAGACCGAGGACTTGGGAGAGGAAGACGTGTTCCCACGGGAAAAAACTGGGGCAAAGACCTGGCAGTTTTGTGTGGTGAATTTAAGGACTGGAATGTAGTGCGAGGGTGTGTCCACAGAGGCGCCCGAGGTCACTGGAGCTGGGTAAGGCTGGAGGGCCTCAAGGTCAGCCTGAGGCCTTGGGCTGGACCTTAGGAGGTCTGGGTTCCTGGGGCCTACGCTGGTAGTTGGCCCTGTGGTAATACTGAGGCTCCAGGAAGAGCAACTTTGGGAGTTTCTCACAGGGCTGGGGCCACCTCCTACTCTTGTGACATAAAAAGCAAGGACCAGGTCTCCCCGGATACTGACTCCCAAGTTCCCATCCCCACAGCCCACATCAGAGACGGGAATGGAAAGTGGGTGCGGGTGGGTCCTGCCCAGGCTGTGCAACAAGAGGGCAGACCCACACCCCCACCCCGAGGGCTTCCGGCCTCCAGTGCCAGGAAGTGGCCGCCCCACCCTCGCAGCTTCCTGCCCACCCCCAACCAGGGTGTGTGTGAGAAGTGTTGAGACCTGGCCACTGCCCCCCTCCTCACACCCCAGGCCATAGTGGCCGAAACAACCCCTTCCCTAGACAGAGCAGGCTACATACAACTTGTGTTTTATTTTGTTTATTACTGGAAATCAAGATGTGTGTAGGGCTTTTTTTTTTTCAATTTTCATACAGTATACTCGCGCGGTGCCAGGACCCCCACAGCCTGACCCCTGAGGGCAGTTTGTAATGCTTTCTTGGGGGGCCCTGAGAGGGAGGGCACAGACCTTCCGGCTGGTTCAGTCTGGGGCCTCCACCCTCAGACCCGCGGAGGCACAGGCGTTATTGTTATTTAAAAATCGTTAAAAAACAGAACAGAACACACATTTAAATAGGTATACAAGACGGTTCTTCAAAAAAAAAAAAAAACAAATGCCCCCCCCTTATTTTCTTTTTTTTTTTTTTTGGAAAAAAAAATCCAAAAAAACAAACAAAAAATAAAAAATAAAAAACCAAATCCTTGACCTCTACCATCTGGGACCCCCTCCCTACCCTCCCACCCTCCACAAAAAATTTTACAACTACAGTTAACACATGATGTTCACTTCTGAAACCATTTAACTTTAAACACAGGACGAGGGCAGGAAGGACTTGGGGTTCACCTACAAGAACAAAGGGAGAAGGGGCCACCACAGGTGGGGCCGGGTAAGACTGACAGGAGGGGGTGGGCAGGGCCCAAACTTCCCATTTAAAAAAAATAAAAAGTGAATGGGGAAAAAAATTCCACCCCCATTGAAAAGGCCCCAGTAAGGGGTCTCTCCCTCAGTCCCTGGGGCCCAAGACCCCCTAGGGCTTGGGCACTGCGTGGGGAGGGTCCTATATAAGACCAGCAGCGGACCCCCAGGGGGGCTTAATGCTACACAGCAGCCCCGTGGGGCGTTCACAGCTCAGCACCCCCCTCCCCATCTGGCTCCGGAGAATCCCCAGACAGTCCACACCCCATACCCCTCAGGCTGGGCTTGAAAGGAGGAAGAGGTGGGGGGCAACTCCCCAGCCCCCTACCATTTCTCTCCCTGGTTTTCAAGCCATTCCCAACCAAAATTGGCTCAGTCAGAAAGTTAAGTCTATAAATAGTCCCCAAACTCAGGCAAGAGGTCAGGGAAATGGGGTGTGTGGGGGGGGCAGAGGGCGCGGAGGACAACGGCACACTTGTGGCCGGCTGACTGGAGAGGGTGGGCGCGGGCTGGTCCCCGTTTCCATTTTTGGCAGGAAAAGGTCTCCAGGCCCCTTGCCTTAGCCCAAGACAGCCCCCCTCACCACAGCCTGGGCCGGACTGAACACGGCTTCACATGGAGGAAGGAAAAAAAAAAAAAAAAAAAAAAGACCAAGAAAAGGACAGATGTGGAAAACAGTCCCCTCCTGTGGCTTCACTCCCGGTGACAGGCGGGTCCTGCTGGCCCGGGGTGGAGGCCAGAGCCTGCAGTAGGGGGGTGGGATGGAGTCTTCTCTCCACAGCCCCATCCCCTCATCTGTAAAGTGCATAATGAGGCGTCTACATTTTTGACTTAAAACCTGAATGGGATGGGGGGAGGCGGAGGGCGGGAGGGGTGAGGGCAGAGCGGAAGAGGGGCAGAGGCGGCTTCCTGGCCTCCTTCCTCCTCCTGCCTGCCATCTGGACAGCCTGCTACATATTGGAGCTGGGGAAGGTGGGAGGGAAGGACCCAGCATCGCCAGCAGAGACGAAGAGGTGGGAGAGGGACGCAGGAGGTACCACCACGATATTAAAAAAAAAAAAAAAAGAAAAAAAAAAAGGCTGGTGGGTGGGTCAGGAGGGAGGTGACCACTGCCCTCCAGAGCTGGGCCGTGGCACCAGGCCGTGTGCGATGTCTTGGTGGCAGTGGTGGCGACCCAGCTCGGTGCGTGTCCACCCTGGGCCGAAGCTTGAGCAGGGGCGAGAGTGTGCCGGATCCTAAGCCACCACGAACTCGGACTGGAGGTCAGGGTTCACTTCTGGCTTCCAAACTGAGTCCTCGAAGTCGAGGCCCAGGCCGGAGGCCTCACTGGGGCTGCTGCCTCCCCCACTACTACTGCTGTCGCTGCGGCCAGCCTTGCGGCTGGGTGGCCAGTGGTAAGGGCCACGGGCGTCCCGCCGGGCCTTCCTGCGCAGGCGTTTCTGCTGCAGTAAGAGCTGAAGTCGCTCTACCTTGCAGCGCGTGGCCCGGTTCTCTGTCTGACGAAGCCGGTCCCCTGTAAAGGAGACCATGACTTGTGATTTCCCAGGGCCCCCAGTGGGAGAGGCCTGAACCCTCAGTAACAGAAGAGGACCTCCTCCTCCCCAGCAGGCATCTGCATCTTGGGAGATCACCCTTGGGTGGATTAGGAATACTTCTTTCTTTTCGTATTCTGCAGTATAGAGTATTCACCCTGGCCTTTGAACTGTGAGCTACCTCCCCAGCCCTTTTTAATTTTGCGACAGTGTCTTATTAAATTGCTCAGGCTGGGCTTCAAACTTGCAATCCTCCTGTCTCAGCCTCAACTGCTGGGGTGAATTACAGGCATGGGCTACCACGCTTAGTTTCCATGAATTGCATTATTTTGGGTGTTTTGAAACAGGGTCTCTTTATGTACTTCAGGTTGGCCTTGAACTCTCAATCATTCTGCCTCAGCCTCCCCAGAGCTGGGATTACAGGCGTGTGTTACCACATCTGGCTTCATTGTATTTCCTTATTCACTGGGCTGTGAGCTATGAAGGGTGGGAAGGGTGGATCTCCCTTATCCTTTTCAGAGTCCTTACAAGGGATACACCCCAAGAAAGCTGTGGGGCCTTGGCCTGAGCTTCCTGCTTTTATGAGCAAGGCTATGGAGGTCGCAGCATTGAACGATCAAGGATGCCTGCTAGCCTAACGATGAGTGTCCCCACTAGCCTCTGGGTGGGGAGGGTAACCAGGGGAATGGTGGGGAGGCTTCCTTAGTCTCCCAAGTCCCCACGACGCTGGGGGACCCTGTCAGCCCCGCCTGTCCTGCCACAACTGACTTGGTCATTCATGGAGGTGCCCAATGCCATCTGGAGATGGTGCCTGGGAGGAGGCAAAGAGGAAGTGGGGCTGGAGCCCCCTCAGGAGCTTACAAGGATACTTTGTGACCAGACACACACATGCCTCCTTCTCTCCCTGCCTGTGCCTCTTGGGGGGAGCCGCAGCTGCCATTCCCCAGTGGGTCAGCTGCTCTGGTGCCCACACTGCACACAGAGGGGCCTTGAGGAGCCAGGCAGAATGGTAGGGACAAGGGACCCTGGAGAAAGGCCACTCACCAGGGGGCTTGCACATGCGTATCTGGCTCTGGCCTTGCAGCAGGGAGGCTGGGGGCGCAGCCGCCAGCTTCTCGCAGGAGGTAGTTTTTGGGGTGAGGTCAGGGGCTGGCGAGGCAGGTGAGCACTGGGCGTGGCAGCGGAGCTGGGTCAGAGAGGGGGGCATGCCCTGGTAGTGCCTTGTGGCGCTCAGGAGGTCATTGAGGATCTGGAGGATCGTGCCAATGTCGCGGCGCGGCCGCCCACTACTGTCCTGACAGTTTGGGTGCAGCGTGCCTGTGGGCAGAGGGGATGAGAGCTCGAAGAAAGCCCACTCGGGAGCAGGTGCAGAGCAGGGCAGGCACCCGGAGCCAGAAGTGCACAGTCCAGCTCAGTGGCACAGGTGGGGACCTCCCCCAGGGACATGGAGACACACGGACACACTCACAGCCAAATGTGCACAGGGTACAGGATGGGTGGGACCAGTCCTGGGCTGTGACACCTACCAGAGAAGGTCCCTGAGAAGACCCCCGGGGCATGGTTTACGAAGCTCTCGATGACAGCGCCGGGTTTGCGGGAGCGGGGACTAGGGCTGCCCCCGGGGGTAGAAGGGGTGCTGGTTCCGGGGCTGACGCTGCTGCTGGCAGGTGGGGAGCAATCCATCTGCTGAAGAGAGAGGAGCTTGTTGAGAGCCGGATTCAGGGTAAGGGTCCAGAGATGATCCCCCGACCAGGGTCTAGCCTAAGGCCCAGAGATAACCCATCAGTGTAGAATCTACAGATTAACCACAGTTTAAGGCCAGCCCAGGTCTAGAGATAACCTGTGAGTCCAGAATCAGGGTTATCACCCTTCAGCCCAAGGACCAGAGGTGACCAGGAGTTAATGTAATGCACTGCTCATCCTGCTGGGGATTAATGAAATCCCTTGTGCAGGGTCACAGGATAACCCACAGACCCAGGGTGAGGGCTGACCTGCTCGTGCAAGGTCCAGAGATAAAACTCTCAGTCCTGACTCAGGGGACAGCATTTGGGGCACAGTGCCCCACCCCTCTCAAAGTCTGCTGCTTCTGCATTCAGGACAAACCTTGCCCATTCTTACCTCCGGGCAGGCGGAGGAGGCTGCGTGGGATCGGAAGGAGCCAGCTGTGACAGGTGAGGCAGATGCAGGAGAAGGGCTGGTGGGTACTGGGGGGACACGGGCGGCACTGGACACCGGCCGGCAGGGTGAGGACATGGGAGTGGTTATGCTGGCGTCTCCTCGGGTGGCAGTGGCCGCAGCAGCTGCAGCAGCCAGTACGTGGCGGTGCTGTAGTGGGGCGTGCTGGGCAGCGAGCTGCAGCTGCACGAACATCATGTGGTCCCCGACCCGCAAAGCCAGGGTCAACGGTGAGCGGCCGGACAAGAAGTCACTGACCTGCAGAGAGAGTGACCTTGAGCAAGGGGCTTCATCTGTGGTGCCCCCAGCCCGGCCCGTCCCAGCTTTCCCGCATTGTGTGACCTGGGGCCTCTCGCCGCCCCTCTCTGGGCTCTGGGGTCCCTGTCGGTGCCACGGATGCTTAAATAAAATGAATCTGTATTTCCGGAAGCCTTCTCCGCCAGCCCGGCCTGGCCCCGGCGCCGCTGGGGGCTGTGGGGGACAGAGGCGGGTCAGACGGGGGTGGCCTGGCCCTCCTTGGCCGGTCACTGTCCTCAACTCACCTCATCCATTTCCCGATTCTTTTGGGTCCCCAACATCTCTATGCCTGTGAATGTGGGGGGGGGGAATCTCATGCCCCCTCCCAGCTAAATCACCCAGACATTGAGTGGGCGAAATTCCTGGGCAAATTCTTCCACCCTAACCTTTGCTTTCTCAAGATAAATATTTATCTGTCCTGGGCGGGGCAGAGGCCAAGGGGCGGCAACATGGCTTTGGAAAAGGGGCCCTGACCAGATCCCAGGGGGCCATGTCTCCAGGGGCCTCAAAGAGCTGGTAGTCACAAACCCTCAGACCTGCCCTCCTGCCTGGTGGGCGGGTTCTTGGCTGTATTATGACCCTGGCTGCACTGAGCTCCCCCCCCAGGGGGAGGTGGCCAGGGCCTGTTCTCCCCAGGGGCTGGGATGGGGGGGGTGGAGGTTTCTGAGAAGTGACAGAGTAGATGACTCAGAGCCTACCGACCGCCTCCCAGATCTCCCTCCCCTCTGTGCTGGCAGCGGCTGGCTGGTGTAACCTTCTGTTTGGGGCCATGGGGGGGGGCAGCAGCAAAGAGGTGATCAGAGCAGTCCCTCCCAAGCCCCAGCCTACACAGCACCCCACACCTCAGAGATGCCCTTGCAGGAAGAAGCTGAAGAAGCTACTGAGAGCAGCCCCCCCCTCCCCATGCTGCAACTTCCTCCCTTGGGAGGGCCAATGGGCGGGCATGACTAGGTGCCAGGCAGGAAAGCAACCCTGGGGAGACCAGTCTCTCCGCCCAGCACACCCCCACCCCCCTCCTGACGCTGGCACTGGGGAAGATGTGAACCAAACACACTCAGGGGGCCCCCCTGCCAACCTCAGCCCCCACTGCGCAGGGAGCTGTTCACACTCGCCCCAGGAAATCACCTGTTCCCCCCACCAGGATCCAAAGACTCTCTCCCACAACCCAGCTCAGAACAGACCACCCATTTTCCCCCAGCCCCCAGGACTGCCTGGCCACAGCAGGTCGTTACACACCGGACGGCTGGGGAGGGGGTGACTGCCTTGGGCAGGAGGAAAAGGAGACCTTATGACCATGACCAGAGAAGCAGGTTTCCTGTGGCGGCCTGGCCTGGCCTGGCCAGGGAGGCCCAAGAACCTGCCCACCCCTTCCCAGGGCGGGCAGCAGCCTGCTTCCCCCACCCTGGCAACAGGCAGATTGCTGAGGCCTGTGTCACCCTTCTGGGAGGTGGCCAGGGCCCGCATCTGAGGAAGGCCCAGCCACAGCCAAGAAAATGAGAAAAGGGGGAGGAGAAGGGAAAAGAAAGGCTTCGACAAAACCATGAACCCTGGTTAGGGCCAGCCCCAACCTCCCTGCTGGCAGGGCTTACTAAATATTTTCCTAACATCCTGTCTCGGCCTCCCCGGCACTGAGGCTGGGTGCCCCCGCCCCTCCAATTTGCCCCCTCCCACTTTCGGGGCAGAGAACAAAGGCCAGAGAAAGAAGAAGAGGGGTGGTGGTGCAGTGACTTCCCACCCCCTCACAATGGGGTCACAGAAGGAGGAAAAAGTGTCACCAGGGCCAGCCCCTCCTCCCAACCCAGAGCAGAAACTAGAAAAAGAGAAACTCTAGAGGTCAATTTGAGGAAGCTAGCTTTTTTTGAGGGGTGGGGGAGCTCTACAGTGGTGGTGGGGTGCACGCTGGACTGGGGAGCAGACCCCCCAGTGCACCCTTCTGCGTGGGCCAAGGTCCCCCCACAGGCAGGCAGGCTTGTGAACGATGGGTCCCCCTCCCCCTCCACAGCAGCCACCGTGGGAGAGAGAGGCCTCAAGGTCAGGTGGGGGGTGGAGGAAGAGGAAGCCCAGTGACCAGGCCAAGCTGGCACCAAGGTGGGGCACAAGTCCCCTCCCCTTCTCGAGCACTCACTGCCCTCCTGCACGTCTGGAGGCACCGCGTGTACCCCCAGGGGGCTGCCCTGCAGGGTCCCAGGTGGGCATTGGTCTACAGTAAGTTGCAGGTTGGAAGCCGTGGCTGGGGCTTACCTGGGTCTCTGTCAGACTCTCAAGGGCTTGCATGACAGACTGCTCCGGCCTTGAGGCCTGGGACTACAAAGAGAGAAAGAAGGCTCCTGAGTAGGGGGGTGGGCAGTCCATGCAGGGGAGGGGCACACACGAGGGTGTCTGACAGTGGCCTGGGAGGGAGCGGGCTTTGCCTGCTCCTGCATGTGGGGCTTCTGGGACCTCCGGGGTACTCCACCCCACAGTAGCCATTTACCATGAGGCCCGCTTCCACGGTGGGCACCAACGTCAGCTTACTGCCATCCCCCACGCCGAACTCCAGGAGCTTCCCCGAACTGAGCCGGCTGGGGGCAGGAAGGAAGAGGGTGAGCCGCATAGACAACACAGGGACGCGGAAGCGGAG